GATGTTATTAATTATGCCGTATTATTATTTCCCGTACTGTAGTGTTGGATATATGAGTATTTTCCGTGTTTCCGGCCTCCGATGGTTAACGCACATGTTACGGGAGAGCCGTGGTGTAAACGGTGGCAGGTGATACATCATATTCCTAAGGACGAGGATATACTTGTAGATTATCGTAGACGTCTCGATTCGATGCGTCCGTCAGATGTAAGTATCTATGTGTATTATATAATCGTAGACGTCTCGATTCGATACATCATTTTATATTAATTATGCTTATTAATATATGTGTATTATTAAATGAATGTAGGTGAATTGGAACACTGTTATTGCTATACCTCGCCCACTGTCTATCAAATGGAGGAAGCGGACAATTGTCATTCATCTTCACATACACAAAGTGGCTTCCTGATTCAAGAAATAGTATAGTCATCTCGTAAGATAACTGTGAAACACCTTCGGGAGCCCAAAGTGGTAAATAAGTCTGATTGCCCAAGCTGCTAGCCGACAAGACCAACGCGTTGTAATATGTTGCCACAACCACGCCCACGTCCGTGATAGTCATCCACTTCTCATAGGGTGCTGGTGCGTTGTCCCAATAAGCGATGCTCGCCAACACCCGATACACTAAATTACCACCACCGAAATAATCCTTGAAGAACTCTTCGTGTGTTTTAATACAGTTATAAACATCCATTCTAACATCCATCCAATCATCCTCGTGGTTCTTCACTGCACACGCGACGCTTCGATAACCACAATTACCATCCCCTTGAACGTCCGTCCACGTCACAACCTCCGGAACAAGGCAGAAATGAAGGTGTCGCATCCAAGGGGGTCGGGGAATTTGACCTATTGCGGGTCCACTCACGGTCGATGAACGACCACGGCTAGATCTCTCAGAAGATGAACCACGCCCTCTGTTGCCTCGTGATCGTCCTCGTCCTCGTCTAGACTCTTCACCTTCTCCCGGAAATAATGGAAACTCATGCCCTGACAAATCCCTCTGTGTAGAGTTCGTCCGCGGTCTACCTCTCGGGCAGGCTAGTACTGGTGGCTCATTCATTTCCATAGCCCCGGGATGCATTCGTTCAAAAATGACATCTGTCACGTCTGTGATCTCAATTTCTGACCGCTCACGCAAATCATTCATTAACCCTTCTAGCCTGCCAATAGCCTGTGACCTGTGGTCGGGAACAGAACCAACACTTTTATCTAGGGAATCCCCGAATCCCGAAATAAATGTCCTCCAAAAAATGTGGACATCCTCTGCATAAAACACACCACGTCGTGCATTCATCTTTGCACGAATTTCATGTCTGCATGGGAGTCCAAGACATTTCCTCATATAACAGACGCAACCGTCTATGTCTTCATCCTTCTCATCGTCCAACATCTGCAGAGCATTATGTGTTACAATTCCACTGGACAATATTTTAAATACGGGCACGTTGATCGTCTGGGCCCGAATCCTCTTTGATTTTGCAAAATCGGCTAGTATCTCGTTAAATTGATCTTTCATCATTGAGTGATACTGTGCCCAAAATGTGTCGAAGCCACCCGTCGACGATTCCAACCATCTCTTCAATGCTCTATGGTTGCTCTCCACCCTAATATGTTTAGAATATGCTATGTTTCAATAAACTACATGACAATAAGTTAAGTATATATATTTAACCACTTATAAATAAATACCTGCTTGTCGATGTATTACCCAAATGGAAAATTAGATCCGTCCATGCTTTTACAAATTTCTCTTTGTATACGAGCCAAGTGTATTGGAGATACTCAATCAAATCTGGATAATTCGCGTACTCGTCCAACAAAGCTGTGTAATTCATGGCGAAATCTTCTTCAGACACTGATTTTACCAAAGTTTGCCACGTACCAAGTACAAAAGCCGTGCCGCGACGCCTACTATTGCCGAGACATCTTGAAGCACGACGCCCCACATTCATGTTAATGTGCCAAAGACATAAGAGATGAGGTACGGTCGGAAATACATTCTCTAGCGCCTTTATGGGCCCTAACTCTCGATCCGTCACGATGGCACTAGGTAGAGTCTGAGGGGGGGAAAGTCTCTTCAGCTTTTGCAACACCCATGTGTAATGGTCTTCATTTTCATGGCGCAAAAATGCGACTGCAACAGTAAAATTTTTCCCGACAGGAGTAACACCAACAATCTCCAACAAAGGCAATTTGTACTGATTGGTTTTGTAAGTACTGTCAAGTAGTAATACGTACGGAAACTTACTTAACAATTCGACAGATTGAGGGTGAGCCCACATCAAATCAGTAACTGCATGTGTTGTTTCATCAGTACGGAACCACTTGTAATAGTTATGCTCTTCAAGCAACCCAATCAAATGTTGCATCACTGTACGGTCACCCCTAGATAGTCTTTTCAATTTCGCCTTCTCATTGTATATTTGTTTCGAATAAGCATCGAGACCCAAACCATTTTGTCTCAAGTTAGCCAAAATCTTCTTGGGCGGCACATGACTTTGTGATAGATCACTAATCTTCGCCTCCTCCTGAGACAATGCACTCATCCCATGCCCGGACTTGTATATCGGAACATGATTATGCTTCCCGTATATTACTCTGACCTCCCATTTATCATCCCATCGTAGCTCTCCGACAATATAAAAACCAGAGCCTATCTTTTTGCTACCGGTCCTTCTCGGGCGCGCGTCTGGATTAGTTGATGGACATTCTCGTTTTTCCCCGAATAGGTCACAAGTCAAAAAAATCTTTTTTTTAGGACTGCTTCTTTTTACTATTTTCACAAAAAGACCTCTTGCAACGAACCTTACCCAAACCACTACCTCATCCTTCGAGTCAAACAACTGAGTAGTGGTAAAATAATCGGTATGATCAACTTCAAATGTAGACGTATCGTCCTGAAAAAAACGTAAAAAAATTGATTTTAAAAAAAAAAAAAAAAAAAGGGTTTAAAACCCAAAAGCCCAAGTCGGGCGCCCGGCAGTGCGGTG